CAACATATGCCACAGGCTGCATCTCCCACTAAATGATTTTTACTTAGACATAACCCAAAGCAACTTGTGAAATATTTGTGATGTTTTACACACTTAATTATACATGATTAAGAAAAGTAGCACACGAAAGCAGATGCGTGCATAAATGTAGTCTCGAGACCTAAGATCTAGTCCTAATTGACTACTAACTAGCTATGAGACTACAAACATCTGATAAGAAAAGATAGGATAAATGTTCTCCTCCTTGCCACTGGAGTACAAACTTCCTAGATCCTTTACTACTGGCACACTACCAAACATGTAAAACTGTGCCCCAAAATATGAATAAAAATCAACCTCACAGAATAAACTCACTCAAAACAACCCCAATGAGAAACTTCAGTAGAATACTACACAAGCAATCTGTATACCTAAGAGAATAAATACATGAGCAGGAAAAAGGGAAAAAAATGAAAATACCACTAAGAAAAACAAAACACAGAGCTGGTACTGGCACACACCTTTAATCCTAGCACTTCAGAGGCAGGGGCAGCAGATCTCTGAGTTCAAGGCCAGCCTGGTCTACAGACTGAGTTCCAGGACAGCCAATGTTGGAAAACCAAAAAGAAAAATAAACGCATGCATAGACAAACATCATGTACAGACATATGTGCATGTATAGACACACCCCATGTACAGATACATGTGTATATACAAACATATATATAGACACACTATATACATGGTATGAACTTATATGGGGTATGAACTTGACATAAGTGAAAGAAACTAAACACTCTTGCTATATAGTCTGGGGTGCTCACTAATGTTTCCTTAAGTTGCTAAAATTCAAATGTTTTCAACAGCTCCATTCACAGTACCATAATTTAAAGGCAAACCAAGATGTCCTTTGGGGTAATGTATCAACTGTGGCATATCCAAACAATATTTCACACTAAAAATAAATGAGCCATTAAGTCTTTAAAAGGCCTAGAAGATCCCAAGATGCACAATACTCAAAGAAACCTATCTGGGGGTGGCAAGGTGGCGTTTAGCCAAACCTGCCATTCTGAGTTCAATCCCTATGACCCAGATGGTGGAAGACTGGCACTAACTCCAGCAAGTTACCCTCTTACCCCACCCACCCAAACACAGACACACACTCACACACATATTCACAAAGTAAGATGTAATAATGTTTTGTGTGTGTGTGTATGTGTTTTTTTTTTTTTTTTTTTTTTTTTTTTTTAAGATTCAAGGCGGGTGGATCTCTATAAATTCAAAGCCAAAGCTACATAGCGAAACCCTGCCTAAGAAAAGACAAACATAATCAATCTGAAAAGGTTTTACTAATAATTACACCTCAATAACATTCTAGAAAAGGCAAATATAAAGCCAGTAATTACATGAGTTTGGGAGGAAAAGAGGCTAAAAAAAGAAAAACAGGATTCTTAGTGCAGTGAAATTATTCTGAACAACAAAGGCATACAACACAACAGAATTCTTCTATCCACACACTCTGGGTGGTGATGATGTATTCATATAGATGCAAGATGGCTACAGGTGCAAGGTCTTCACAGCAGGGTGAGCTGTGATGCACATGGGTATTCTCAGCTTCCTGCTTAATACAGCTAAAATTTTCTTTCTTAAAACAGAAGACTTATTTACCCCTTAACCTATGAATTCTATTTAGCCTTTAAAAAGTACAATCAGAGCTGGGTGGTGGTGGTGGCACACGCCTTTACTCTCAGCATTCGGGAGGCCGAGGCAAGTGGATCTCTGTGAGTTTGAGGACAGCCTGTTCTACAGAGTGAGTTCAAAGACAGCCAGAGCTACACAGAGAAAACGCGACCCCCCCCCCCCAAAAAAAAAAAAAAAAAAAAAAAAAAAGGAAGGAAGAAGTTGCCTTAATCGCAGTGTCTCTTCACAGCAATAGACAGTGACTAACACACATTCAAAAGTAGGATCTAATACTTTCTGGCTCCTTAGGCACCAGACACATATACAGCACACAGAAATATATGTAGGGAAACATACACACATACAATAAAAATAAAAACTTTTTAAAAGGGGGATGAAATAAAAAGTTTACAAGGCATTTAACAATGTGGGAATGCTCAGGCTCAGGAAAACAGAGACATGCACAGAAAGAGCTATTCCATCATCCCAATGTGCATGCACAGAACTAAGGATGTGCTGGGAATACAGCTCAATCGTCCAGGACTTGTTCAGTATACACAATCCCTTGGCCTTGATGCTCAGCACCACCAAAAAAGGAAGGTGCACATGGGGGTGGGGGTGGGATATTGTACGGTAAAAAGATTTACAGAGGGCTGGAGAGATGCCTCAGAGGTTAAGAGCGCTGACTGCTATTCCAGAGGACCCAGGTTCAATTTCCAGCAACCATATTGTGGGCATCTATAATGGGATCTGGTGCTCTCTTCTGGCATGCAGGTGTACTGGCAGGCAGAACACTACACATAATAAACCTTTAATTAACTTAAATTTTAAAAGAAAATCTACAGGAACATTCTAAAACACCAAGCAGTTGTTTTTTGAATAAAAGAAAAACCTTAATTTTTCTGTTTTTTCTTTTCTGTGTCTTTGAAATAATCAATAGTAGGCAAAATTGTTACTTTTAGATTAGTGTGGTGCTGAGACCCGCCCCCCCCCCCAGGTCTCTGTGCAGCTCCGGCTGTCCTGAAACTCCCTCTATAGACCAGGCTGGCCTCAAACTCAGAGATCTGCCTGTCTCTGCCTCCTCAGTGGCTTGGATTAAAGGTGTGCACCACTACTAGATTAGATTAGTTTTTAAGCTTCAACTTTTAACGAATAATGAGTAGAGCATAACAGTAAAACAAATTTATTTTGCACAACACTAATGTTTAAAAACTCTTAGCCAGTTGTTATGTGCACACTTGTAGGACATCACTCAGGAGGCTGAGGCAAAAGGATCCCAGTGTTAAAGCCAATCTACTCTACACAGTGAATTCCAGTCTTGGGGGGGGGGGTGAGAAAGGCATATTAATTTTATTCAGTGGTTTCCTTGTAGGTTTTTTTTTTTTAATTTATTTACTTATTTTTATTGCATAACAGTGTTCCGTCTGAATATTTGCCTACACACCAGCAGGGGGGCACCAGATCTCATGACAGATGGTTGTGAGCCACCATGTGGTTGCTGGGAATTGAACTCAGGACCTCTGGAAGCACAGCTAGTGCTCTTAACCTCTGAGCCATCTCTCCAGCCCCTCCTTGTAGGTTTAATAAGAATAAAACATTAAAGTTAAATTCTGATCTGAAAGATTTTAGTATGTAATGTCAAGATACAAGAGATGCTAATTAGAAAGAACCAAGGGGGTGGGACAAAGAGAAGAGGTAGAGAAGATACTAATATATATAACCCTGACCGAGAAGAGAATCAAGACTGGGAACACGCCAGGAGTGGTGGCGCACACCTTTGATCCCAACACTCCAGAGACAGAGGCAAGTGGGTCTCTGTGAGGCCAGCCTGGTGTACACAGTGAGTTCCAGGTCAGCTAAGCCTACACAGAGAAATCCTGGGAAGGGGGCTCAGCTGTTAAAGGTTAGGCTTACAACTTAACCTTCAAACACAAAACAAAACAAAACTACCAAACCACACAATAAACAGAGAACCTAGGGGCTCAGACTCAGAGGAGCAGGGTTGGGCACAGCACAGATGCTCAGTGACCTGAGGCTCTTGTCTCTAAGCTGTGGAAAGCCATCCCTCCATCTGCACAGGGCCACTGTGGAGAGAGAAAGCTGTGTGACCATGACAGCATAAGCATGCGCTGTGCTGGGCACAGGGCTCAGAAGTGCCTGCCCCCATGAGCACTGTGATCAAGCCTCCAGGAGGACAGAGAAATAAAGAGAGGCCTTCAGAATCAAACCATCTGAAAATAAAAACTCCAACAGTAACTCAGACAGGGAAACTGGGTGCCTAAGATTCTCACAGAAGCAGACCTCCTCAACAGGACTCAGGGAAACAGAGCTTTACACATTACCATGATGCAGATTTCTCAGTTTCTTTTTTCCCTGCTCTATAAGAAAGAGCATGTTCAAAATGGCATGAGTTGACTTTGTAAACCACTGTAAATGCTCAGAGAGAAGGATGAAAAACAAAACATACCAGGAAATATGCAGAAAGCTTTTCTGTAGCATGGTACAGGATCAGAAATGCTAAGGTAGAGTGTGGTGGTGCACACCTTCAGTCCTGGCAGGTGGATCTGTGAGTTACAGGCCAGAAGTGCATAATACCAAACATTGTGATGTGATTTCAGTTAATAAACCTCATAAATGCCATCCATATACTCCACTGGAAATTTCTCAAAAGAAAAAAAAAGTGTCTTATTTCTTAGTTATGATGAAAACATGGGCCTTCAAAATAGCAAAGAATTATGTTAACACAGCAGACACAAAATTAGTCTTTAAAGGTAACATGAATAAACACAAAATATAATTGATATCCCGATCAGAACCTCTCTCCTCTTCCCCCTCCGAAACAGCAGGCAGGGCACTCAGGGCATTGCCAGCAGCACTGCTAGCCCTGCTAGGCTGGAGGTACAGCACAGGGGTGGAGGGCTGGCGAGGGAGGACTGTGAGCCCTGGGTCAGTTCTGTGCTAGCATGTCTCACCTCCTGGTGTGCATGTGCGCCACACACGTCAACCACACAAGTCAGAAGGGCTCATCAGAGCCTTGGCAGGGCCCTCCCCAAATCCTCCCCAAGTGCCCTGACTACTGAGCCACCTCTCCAGCCCACTGCTTCCTTTCTGCTCAGGTCCAGTCCTCACATACACTCATTACTACCTTACACAGCATTCAGGAGTATGTCAAAGATAATGAAATCACAGGCTGTAAATATTTAAATTAACTGGCCATAGTTTAAAAAGTAAGCACATACTAAAACTGTGTGAGAGCAGTAACAGATACTTTAAGTTACAATATTGCCTTTAAGACACCACATTACCCAAGGAAGACGGAAATAAAGGAGCTCAAGACTTACGTTTTGCTTCTGAAAGATTCTGATTAGGTGACCAGACCAACATGCCAAGATTGTCTCGTTCTTGACTGCGTCTTGCCAGTTTGGCTTCGTAGAAAGGAAATAAAAATTGTATTATTATAAGTTAGCAGCAGTAATAAGCAGTAAATATCACCACTATTCTGATCTTCTAAGCCTCAGAATAACATACCGCCTACCCTTCACCTTACACCCTTACTAATAATAAATAAATAACTTTAAAACAGTATCTTAGGAAACTCATAAAGTCCACTGAAAGGACTTATATAAGAATGGAAGAGTCTAAAGCAGCAGTTTGCAACCTGTGTCTCCATCCTTTGTGTGGGTTGAATGACCTTTTCACCGAAATTGCCTGCATATCTTGAGTATGATTCATAACAGTATCAAAGTTGGAGTTATGAAGAAGCAAGGAACCGGGTGGTGCATGCCTTTAATCCCAGCACTTGGGGAGGCAGACGCAGACGATCTCTATGAGTTGGAGCCTGATTTACAGACCTAGTTTCTGGACAGCTAGGGTGCTACACAGAGAAACCTAGTCTTGAACTTGAACATCCCCCCCACACACAGACACACAAAAAAGCAAAGAAAATAAATTTATGGTTGGGGGGGGTCACCACAACATGAGAAACTGTGTTAAAAGATTGCACACTAGGAAGGCTGAGAACCACTGGTATAGAGGATGAAGAGACAGAAATGTAACAAATAGAAGTGGACTATTCAATATGCATTTTTAAGTTTTTTGTATTCCTGATGGATCCGGAACTTGCTATGGAGACCAGGCTGGTCTTGAGCTCACAGAAATACAGCTATCTCTGTCTACCAAGTGTTGAGATTAAAAATAGGCACACCACCCCTGTCCCAGAATGCCTTTTAAAAATTATTCTGCTTAGCACGACTTTAATTCCAGCACTAGGGAGGTAGAGGCAGGCAGATCTCTGAGTTTGAGGCCAGCTGGATCTACAAAGTGAGTTCCAGGACTGGCTCCTTAGCTACTGAGAAACCTTGTCTTGGGAGGGGGGGATCTGTTTATATAAATATTCATTCTGCATAACCACTCCAGTCAAAATTTAACTGACCAACCCTTTTTTATAAAGACACTGAATCCATCCATGAGCATGAAACTCTAATGGCCTCTTAAACTATTGAAAGACCCACCTCCCAATATATAGGCCAATATACTGTAGTAGACAAACATTCAAACCAAAACTACATTATTACCAAAGAAAGTGTTTAGCAGAAACATGTGGTTGTGCATGTGTACAATCCCAGTAAAACTTGGGAGGCTGAGAAACTACAGAGCAAGATCCTATCAAACAAACATACCCTCTGATCCACGGAAGGGAGGGAGGGAGGGAGGGAGGGAGGGAGGGAGGGAGGGAGGGAGGCAGGCAGGCAGGCAGAGGTTAAAACCAATTAATAGATCAGGGGAAAGGCAAACTGAAGCTCCATGAGTAACTACTATACCATGCTTGCTTACTAAAAAGTACAAAATCTGGGCTGAAGAGATGGTGCATCTGTTAAAGGCTAGGCTCACAATCAAAAATAAAAGTACAAAATTTAAAACAATGACCAAGTTTGGTGATAATGTGGAGAAAATGAAAGTCTCTGCACTGATGGTGGCAATATGAAATGCTACTAAGACTCTGGAGGGGAACATATTGCTCAGAAACAACTGAGCAATAAAAACAAATGAGCTAAACACACAAGGACATGAATGAATGAATCTCAAAATACTTAACCTAAAGAACAGTTACAAATACAGAAAAGGGGAGGCTTTTAGAAAGAATTCCATGGTGGTGGGCAGGAACTGTTGGTAACAACATGCACTCATGAGTTCTATTACAAAAAGAATTATAGTTTGTGTACACATGCATCAACATATTTCCCATCTGTCCACTGAGGAAAGCCTTAAAGGAAAGCTAAGCACATTAACTCCCAGATGGGACTTCTAAACATGTCACCTATAAAATAACAAAGATATCTTGAAGAAATGTTTTATTTCAGGGCTCACAAGATTACAAAACGATCCTTGAATGTTTTCTTATACCACAAAATAAGATTTTTCAAAGAACGTGGGTTCTATCTTCCACTAGCCAAATCTAGAACAATTTGAGCAACAAAATAAATCATAGAATCTTTAAGGTGGACATGGTGGTCAAGCCTTCAACCCCAGCACTTGAGGGAGGCAGAGGCAGGAGGATCTCTGCTGAAAAGTTTGAGACCAGCCTGGTCTAGTCAGTGAGTTCCAGGCCAGGCAAGGGTACAGTGAGACTTTGTTTCCAAACAGAACAAAAGTGGATGCGGTGGCTCACACCTACAGCACAAGCATTGGAAGGCTGGGCGTGAGAACAGACACAACCTGGGCTACAGACTAAGGCTGAGAGAAGGGAAAAGGGAGGGGAGGGGAGTTAATCTTCCTGTGATCTGTGAGTGGGCAGAATTGTAAAATTTAGAAAACTATATAGGAAAAAACATGCATCTGCTTTGAGAAAAGTATTAGATATGATAACAAGACCATAATCTATAGAACACTGACAGCCATCGTCCTTAAACTCAATTTGATAGCTGTGTCAGAACAAAGCAGGAGTCAGGGAGCAAGAGCCTAAGATTTATTATATCTCCAATATCCTCGGGTATCTGTGACAAAATCTACTGTGTCACTGCTGTGTGTGAGCTCGAAAGCCACTCTCCCCTATTCTGGTGACAGTGAGCCCTGAATCTAGTGCCTCGCACTCACCAAACACTTTGCCACTGAACTTGGTCTCATAAATTGCTATCGCACTTTAAGCAATCCTTCTGCTGAGGCATTCCAAGTAACTGGGACTACAAGCCTCTACCAGCAACATGGCTAGGCATAGTTCCTTTTGTTTGTTTTTGGGCTTGTTTGTTTGTTTATGTTTTGAGACAGGGTTTCTCTATGTAGTCCTGGTACTCTCTATAGACCACGTTGGTCTCAAAATCAACTGAGATCTGCTGCTCTCTGCCTCCCAAGTGCTGGAATACCACCTGGCTAGGCATAGTTCTTAAGGTACTGAGGCTATCTATATACTTTCTGTCAGCTAGGATGCCAGCAATGAATGACTCAGGTACAGTAGTAAATGGGCTGTTTGTGACTGCCAACTCCCTTACCACCAAAGACACACAGCTTACCTATTAGGGACAGTCTGATGCCTGCCATCAGCAAGGCCCACATCCACCCCAATCACAGGCTCAGGGGATCTGCAGTCTCTGCCCCAGCCCTTGAGTATTCTTGCCCATGTTCAAGGCTGCCTTCCTGTCACATCCTGGAGTATTAATACCCAGAAGAACATCCCAGTTCTTAAGAGACACAGCTTGGGGCTGGAGAGATGGCTCAGTGGTTAAGAGCACCGGCTGCTCTTCCAGGGGGGTCCTGAGTTCAATTCCCAGCAACCACATGGTGGCTCACAACCATCCATGAGATCTGGAGCCCTCTTCTGGCCTGCAAGCACACATACAGGCAGACACTGTATAATTACATAATAAAATAAATCTTTTTAAGAAAATAAAAAAGGGCTGCAGCTTGGCCTTTGGGACCCCTGGGTCCCCAGTCTTTCACTGTACTCTGAGCCATTCCTGGGATCTATGCAGCGTCACTCAGCACCAGGAACCTAGAGCCATGGACCACGTGGATGCGCAGGCCAGTACTTCCTTCCGGATGCATTCTCCTGTCCACCTGCATTTACTGTCAGTACCGAGCTATTGTTCCTACAATGTAGATGATGACCAAAAACGCTCTCTAAGTCCCTGTGAGTGGAACTGCTGTTCCTGGATGGCTCCCCACAGCTACCGCTGTCCTCCACTCCTTTAGGAACCCTAATGTCCCCCAACACTTAGTCACCTGAAGCTTCCTAACATCTGTCTCTCTGCCTTGTGCACCAATGTGGGCAGGCTAGACACTCTCTTTTTGAGGTTGCTTTGTTTTTAGCAAGGCCTCTCTGTATAGCCCTGGAGTCCTGGAACTCGCTATCTAGACGGGGCTGACTAAACACTCAGAGGTCTGCCTGCCCTCCTAAGCCATGGAAATAAAGGTGTGCACCGCCACACCCAGCCCTAGATACTCTTATGTTAACTGAACATTAGTTCCCATTTTCTTTTTCAGTTCTCTTCATTTAATTGAATTTATTTCCCAATGAATACCTAAAATTTTTTTTAAAAAACATCTTTTTATTGTACCTATGTGTTCGTCAGTATGCCATTGTGTGTCTTGGACTTACAGACATTTAGGAACTGCCCAATGTGGGTGCTAGGCCTCTGGAAGAGCAGCCAGCAACTCTTACCTGCTCCCCAGACCCACTCAAATAAAGCTTCTGTAAACAGTTGTGTGAGTTCCACTGAGAACACGTGCTAACTCTATTTCCCTGAAGAGTGAGTCTCCTGGGTCAGTTACGTCTTTATAAAAGACTGTCTACTTGTTTCTGAGTGGCTTCACCATACGTCACTCACTTCAGCACAGTAGGAGATTTCTTCATTCCTGTCAGTAGTTGGTTTTGCAAGTGTATAGTTCATTCACACAGTGGCTTTAATTAAGTTTCTCCAATGCTTAGTAATATTGAACAGCTTTTCATGACATGCTACCTATATTTTTTTATGAAGTAACTGTTTATAGACTTTTAGACTATTTTTAAAAACTGACTTATTATTGAGTATAAGAATTCTTTATGCAGATGTATGTTAGATATGAATATGCAAATATTTTCTCCAAGTATACAGTGTATCTTTCAACAGGGTGCTTCATATAATAAAAATAGTTAATCAAAAAATGGAATTTAGAAGGTAGAATGAAGGCTCATTAGTTAAGAGTACTTATTGCTCTTCCAAAAGGCCCAGGTTTGATTCCTAGCACCTACATGGTGGCTTATAATCGCCTGTAACTCCAGTTACAGAGGGTTTGGTGCTCTCTTCTGGCTTGCATAGTTACAAAGTGCCATGGTGCACAGACATACAGGCAGGCAAAACATCCATACACATTAAAGCAGCTTTATTCACAACCACCAGAAATTAGACAGCACACAACATGTGAGACTCAGGCAAATGTCAGCATTTTCATA